TTGCGCATTCTTTCAGAGCCAAAGCCAACACCTGTCTAATTCCAACACCAACAATCTGGTCGATCACTTCAATCATATCTGCTTGTCGTCACTAAATATTACTGCTCCTCTAAAGGTTAGGCCTACGTCTAAAGCTAGTAAGCAACCCTGGATAAATGACAGCATTCGCAGCCTAAAAAGGGAATGCAGGAAATCAGAGTGCAGATGGAAAAATCCAGTCTCCAAGTCCATTACCTCAGTCTGAAGGATTTATTAATTAAATACAATAACTTGGTTAAGGATGCGAGAACACTCTATTTCTGAACTCATTACTACACATAAACACAATCCCAGGTTTCTGTTTAAGACTGTGGATCAGCTGGCAAACCCAACCCCTCCTTGTGCCTCAGCTGGAAGTAATGATGACTGTGAATTGTTTTTATCTTATTTTACCAATAAGGTGGTGTCAGACAGAGCCTCTATTACCCCGCGGTCTCTTACTCAGAGGTTCCTCACCAGCACAACAGAGTTTTAACCAGTTTTATCCCATCGACTTGTCTGAGCTTTTAAACAGTATCACTAATGAGTGTCCTACAGCCCACTTGATGTAATACCTACAAAGTTTTTACTGAAAGTAATGGATTCTGTTGGGCCCCATTTGATCTCTGTTTTCAACAGCTCCCTATCTACTGGTTGTGTCCCTGATTATTTATAACGGCTTGCGTGAACCCACTTTTAAAGAAACCTGGTTTAGATCCCTCTCTCCCACATAATTTTAGACCAATTTCAAAACTGCCTTTTATTGCATAGATTCTAGAAAGAATTGTGTCCAAACAGCTGCTCACTGTACTGGAAAATAACAAATTATTTGAAGAGTTTCAGTCTGGTTTTAGGAAGTACCACAGCACTGAGACTGCCCTGCTTAAAGTCACCAATGACCTTTTAATGTCTGCTGAAGAAGGCATGTTCTCAGTCCTGGTACTCCTGGACCTTAGCACTGCTTTTGACACCATTGATCACAACATCATGTTAGACAGACTGAGGCACTGGGTGGGGATCTCTGGTACTGCCCTAGAATGGTTTTCATCCTACCTGTCAAATAGGAAGTTTTGCTTGTCTGTAAACAACTATGTCTCCTCGTTCTGTCCAGTTAAATATGGTATGCCTCAGGGTTGGTCTTAGGACCATTTTGTTTTCCTTGTATCTGCTTCCCCTTGGACATATTATCCATAAACATGGCATTTCTTTTCATATTTATGCTGATGACACACAAATATACTTGCCCGTCAGATCCACAGACCCTGGAATGCTGAGTTCACTTAACAACTGCCTTTATGAAGTTAAAAAATGGATGTCAAATAATTTCCTCCAGCTGAACTCAGACAAAACAGAAATCCTGGTCATTGGGTCCCAGCAGATCAGGCAAACAGGCAAATCAAATACTGCCATCTGCTGGTTCCCTAGTAAATCACATTAAGCCTGTGGCAAAGAACCTTGGTGTCTGGTTTGATAGTAATTTAAATTTCGAGCAGCACACCACAAAGCTTGTTCAATCATGTTTTTATCAACTTAGAAATATAGCAAAATTCGATCTATGTTAACTTTTAAGGACACCGAGACCATTTTACACACCTTCATCTCATCACGCCTGGATTATTGCAACAGCCTTTTTACCTGTTTAACCCAAAAATCTATTGATCGACTCCAGACTGTCCAGAACTCAGCTGCCAGGCTTTTAACCAGAACAAAGAAATATGACCACATTACTCCTATTTTAGCTTCATTACACTGGCTCCCAGTATGTTTAGAATTGACTTTAAAATTCTATTGATCACTTTTAATCACTTTTACTTCATGGCCTCTCTCCTTGTTATATTTCTGACCTTTTAGTACCATACACACCAGCACGCACCTTGAGATCCTCGGGCAGAGGTCTGTTGTCTGTTCCAGAGTCTCGACTGAAAACTAAAGGGGACAGAGCGTTTGCTGTCAGGGCCCCGAGACTCTGGAACAGCCTGCCCAAGGAAAGGGTTATTATTGTTGACCATTTTCTCTCTCTCTCTCTCGCCTGTCATTCTCCAGTCTTGTCTGAGTTTTGCATGCATGCTGTGCTGCCGACAACTACATGCACATCGCGGTTCCTCGCGGGTCTATTTCAAGTAGCCGGCTATTTAAAACTATATAATATTCTTTGTGTGGTTCATCAACGGTGATAACTAACGCCTACACATACGCACTGACGACCCAGGGTTGAGGTTACAATTTTGGATTTATTTACACACTTTAAAAACATTTATTGAAAGTTTATTCTTTTTATATGTTTATTTACAGCATTAAATGTTGAAATGTATATTGTAATAGGCTGTATATTAACTTATTGAGAGAAAACTGGTAGTTCTATGTAAAATCAGACGTTGATCCTCGTTTCACTGCGAAGGTTCAACTGTGAGATTGACAGTCGAATCAGGCTCTGCCCATTGAAGCATCGAATCTTTGACTATTGGGGGTCAGTCCTAAGTTGAGTGTTTTGCTGCAGACACCTAATTTTCCTGTACCCCCACCCCACCACAGATTGTGCTCTACCTGAGGATGTGTTTGGCCTACAGCGCCGGGGCCAAGCCCATGTCCATGCGCCTGGCAGATATGCAGGACGATGCACCGGCCATCGGCCACTACATCCAGACACTGCTGTCTTCTGAGCATCAGTCTTCAGTAAAGAGTTCTGAGGCAAACCCTGTTCATGTGTATATGGATCTGCTGCAGCAGCTGCTGTCTGCTGTAGGGGGTGAGACAAGTTAACCTGCTCTTTCCTGAGGGATATTGTACCACATGATCAAGTCAGGTCTCCATTGTTATTATGGGACATTTGAGATGTTTTGTAGGTATTACATGTATCTTCTGTTAATCACTCCGAGTCAGAATTGGGTCTTGAGTTAAGTTTAGTGTAGTGGTACAGATAGGGCGTTTGCTTTATTGTTTATTTAACCTGTCATAAGTAATGTATTTAGTTATATTGTCTATATATTCATATGCATGGTGTGGTATTGTAAAAACTCACTCTCTGTGTGTTTATTTATTGCACTTCATTATTAATCTCTCAACAGGAATCCCAGTTATGTACTGTCTGCTGGAGGTGGTGTCTGTCTGTCCAGAGAAACTGGCTTCCAGATTTGTTGATAAAATTGACTGGATTAAAGTAAGTGTTTCATTTATTTATGTTTTTATATTTTATTTTTAAGATTGGAGGAAATTCTACATTAACATTTACTGTGCTCTAATTCATTACTGAGACTAGTATCTGCACCACTAAATAATTAGTCCAGTCACTTAGCTGTGCTGTGTTGTAAATCCGTGAGCCTAATTCATATTTCACACCTGTAATGTGCGTTCAGCTGTACTAACAGATGGTTTCTTCTCCAGAGTCTGATGAACACAAATAAGGAGGACATGAGGGAGCTTGCAGCCCAGCTGTATGCTTTGGTGGTATCTACCATGATTGGCAACGAGCTGCAGATGGCTGTGCACAACCTGGTCAAAATCACCAAAGACAACCATGTATGCCACTTTGTCTCTATGGAGCACTTGATATTTGCTTTATATTTTAAAAGTGTGCATTTTTAACTTGTGTGTTGGTTTTGTTGGACCACAGAGTCCTGAGACTCAGCATGGCGCCATCTTGGCTCTCGGCTACATGGTGGGAAGGTACATGAGCAAGAAGAAAGCTGTCACCTCTAGTGACTCAATGCACGACATGGGGCAGCAAATCACCTCCCAAGAAGATCATCAACTTGTTGCCATGGCCACCAAGACAATTGGTATGTAATTATTTAGCAATATTTTCCTGCAGTTTAGATTTCATTCATTGACTTCAGTAGCTTAAAGAGTCAATGTGAAGTTATTTGCTTAGATTGTGATAAGGAGTTATAAAGAAAATTGTTTTGTTATCTCCTTTCTGTAACCTAAAATTAATTTGTTTTGTCATTAAAAATTAAATTAAAACAAGTTAAATCTGTCTGTATGGGTTCCTCCCTCAGTATGGGTTAATGTGTGTGTGTGTGTGTGTGTGTGTGTGTGTGTGTGTTCCCATCCAGGTTCCTTCCTGGACAGCAGTAGTGCACTGCTGGCTGTAGCAGCGTGTACAGCTCTGGGAGAAATTGGGCGGAATGGCACCTTGCCAATCCCTGCAGAGGGGGAGGGCTTCACCAAACTGTCAACCGTGGAAAACCTACTGGCTCGCATCCCCTCTGGCAAGGAGAGCACAAAGGTAACCTCAGACTCCACGAAACGAAGGTGGTTGCTGTGATATTTTCATTAGTGATTTACACTGTAGGGCTTTGCAATATGATATGGCGATGTATATCGTTTGACGGTCTATCGTTTACATCAGTATTACCCATTTCTGTTCAGTCTCAGACTAGGGCTGGGCGATATATCTGTATTATGCGTTATACCGATTATAATTTCAAAAGAGATAAAAAATTAGACAATACTGTTTATACCAATATAGTTTGATGTTGAGTTACATAACGTTTCCACGCAGCCATCTACTCACAAACTCTCTGACAACAAGGAGGGAGACACAGTACTGGTCGACACTGTTGAAGACCTGGCTTGTTAAAAGAATAATAACGGTTCAGTTAGTGTTTCCCACACATACGCTTTCCTTGAGCGGGCCAGCCAGGTATATTAACGGCCACCCAGGTATATTTGGTGACCAGTGTTGGGCAAGTTACTCAGAAATTGTAATATATTACTAGTTACTTATTACTCCTTAAAAAAGTAATATTACTTTACTTATTACTGGGTGTTAAAAGTAACTAGTTACGTTAGTCGTTATGTTACTATATTACTTTCCAGTGTTTCCCACAGAATGACAGTGGGGGTGGGGTTTCTAACTTTCTCTAAGAGAAAGAGAGAGAGAGAAAGAGAGAGCGAGCGAGCGAGGAGATGCTGCACGAATATATGCTCCTCAATCAAATATGATTTTAAATACGCCTAGTAAAAAAAAAAAAAAACATGCTTTCACAACCACCCCCCTTCACTCCCAAACAAAGCAGTCTCCCCCGACTTTTTAACTAATATCCTATTCAACAGCAGCAAGGAGTGTGGTTTTTACAAAGTATATAGCCTAGGCCTAACGTTTCTTATAACCACCCACTGAAATAAAAAATAAAGCAACTAAATCCCAACTTTTAAACAGCTGTTTTTCTGCACATGTAACCTGTTCATAAGAGCAGTCTTCAGTAGTTACAAAATGTTAGGTTAGCGCCACTCTCTCCCGACGAGTCCAAGCATCAGTGGCAGTAGCTACCGGAGTTTCTTTCTGTAAGTTTCACGTTGCTGTGCTGTATAATGGCAATAATGGCAGTAGCTTCTTACAGCTGTGGAAAGAACGCCTCTCTCCCTTGTTCTGCTTTCTTCCTTTGGTTTTGGCTATCAGCGGACATGAAGTGGATAAGAAAACGTGCCTTTGGTGTGAGAGACTCGGGTTCAACTCCCCACTATGACACATCCACCACTGTGTCCCTGAGCAAGACACTTAACCCGTAGTTGCTCCAGAGGTGTGCAACCTCTGACATACAGTGAGGAAAATAAGTATTTGAACACCCTGCTATTTTCGATTTCTAAGTTCTCCCACTTAGAAATCATGGAGGGGTCTGAAATTGTCATCGTAGGTGCATGTCCACTGTGAGAGACATAATCTAAAAAAAAAAATCCAGAAATCACAATGTATGATTTTTTAACTATTTATTTGTATGATACAGCTGCAAATAAGTATTTGAACACCTGTCTATCAGCTAGAATTCTGACTCTCAAAGACCTGTTAGTCTGCCTTCAAAATGTCCACCTCACTCCATTTATTATCCTAAATTAGATGCACCTGTTTGAGGTCGTTAGCTGCATAAAGACACCTGTCCACCCCATACAATCAGTAAGAATCCAACTACTAACATGGCCAAGACCAAAGAGCTGTCCAAAGACACTAGAGACAAAATTGTACACCTCCACAAGGCTGGAAAGGGCTACGGGGAAATTGCCAAGCAGCTTGGTGAAAAAAGGTCCACTGTTGGAGCAATCATTAGAAAATGGAAGAAGCTAAACATGACTGTCAATCTCCCTCGGACTGGGGCTCCATGCAAGATCTCACCTCGTGGGGTCTCAATGATCCTAAGAAAGGTGAGAAATCAGCCCAGAACTGCACGGGAGGAGCTGGTCAATGACCTGAAAAGAGCTGGGACCACCGTTTCCAAGGTTACTGTTGGTAATACACTAAGACGTCATGGTTTGAAATCATGCATGGCACGGAAGGTTCCCCTGCTTAAACCAGCACATGTCAAGGCCCGTCTTCAGTTTGCCAATGACCATTTGGATGATCCAGAGGAGTCATGGGAGAAAGTCATGTGGTCAGATGAGACCAAAATAGAACTTTTTGGTCATAATTCCACTAACCGTGTTTGGAGGAAGAAGAATGATGAGTACCATCCCAAGAACACCATCCCTACTGTGAAGCATGGGGGTGGGAGCATCATGCTTTGGGGGTGTTTTTCTGCACATGGGACAGGGCGACTGCACTGTATTAAGGAGAGGATGACCGGGGCCATGTATTGCGAGATTTTGGGGAACAACCTCCTTCCCTCAGTTAGAGCATTGAAGATGGGTCGAGGCTTTTTTTAGATTATGTCTCTCACAGTGGACATGCACCTACGATGACAATTTCAGACCCCTCCATGATTTCTATGTGGGAGAACTTGCAAAATAGCAGGGTGTTCAAATACTTATTTTCCTCACTGTATATAGTAATTGTAAGTCGCTTTGGATAAAAGCGTCAGCTAAATGAATAAATGTAAATAACGTAGCCTACTACTGATAGAGAAAGTCACTGGAACAGAGATACATGGGGAGAGAGATGGAAAGAAGCGGAGAACGCTGACATGTTTGCAGCAGAGGTACGTTAGGTCTGTGAGTGTGGGGAAAAGAGAACTGAAGGAAAAGAAGGCAGATTCAATAAGTGAGGAAAGTTAAATAAGGTGGAGAATGAAGTAGGCTATAATTAAAACGCTTAAATAAAAATCAAGCTACTAAAAACATAAGAAATATCATGAGTTACTGTTCTGTCCAGATGCTTGATTTGAAATGACCTATATCAGGATATGAGATTTTAATCATATCGCACAGCCCTATGTGTCCATACTATATTCATACTGTTTGCATTAATGATACATCAGATATTAAGCTAACAGATCTGTGGCTCATATTGTCCTTTTAACTTAATTATCTTGTTTGTGTCTGTCTGTCTGTCCATGTACGTGGTCCAGATGAAGGAGCGATCAATCCAGACCTTGGGTTACCTACCTGTGGGAGATGGAGACTTCCCTCACCAGAAGAAGCTGCTGCAGGGTCTCATGGACTCTGTAGAGGTATGAAACATACTGTCTTACAGTAGCATTATCAATTGCAATGCAGGGCTTTACAAAGACAACAGAAACAGTTAGAACTAACAGATTGTTTAGAAGCATTAATATTGGTAGGCACTAGCGACTTGATTGCTGTAGTAAAAGTTTGAGTTGTAAAATGTATTTTGTCTGTGACTTAATGTTTTCTGATTGAGAAAAAACAAATGCAGTCTTTTTTTAGTAGAAATTGGGATTTTTTTCTGTCACAATCAAGACTGTATGATCTTCGATCATTGACGGTGATCGGTGAAACTGTTGGAGGGCTCATAGAAACTCCATCACATTTTCCCTTCTTTCTCTCTTAAGGCCAAGCAGGTGGAGCTGCAGTTTACAGTTGGAGAGGCTATAACCAGCGCCGCAATAGGCACCAGCTCTGGTGCTGCCAGAGACCCATGGACCTGCACTGAGGACCAGTACAGCCCGCCACACAGTAAGTACTTTCAGCTGTGAAAGACATATTTTCTGTCTAGCAGCTCTGCATTGCTAGTAATCAGATATGTGAGTATATGTTTACCTGCAATAGTCCTTTTTATCTAAACCTTAAATGCTCCCTCAACAAAACTAGAAATATAAATTTTTGTTCTAACATTTCCACTCTCTTCCTTTCCCTTCCAGATGTGAAAAACAACGATGTGGTTCCTTGGGTCCTCAACTCCATCTTGTCCAGGTATATACCCAGCCAGAACCCCCATGTCCGACAGGCAGCCTGCATATGGCTGTTGTCCCTGGTCAAGAAACTCAGCCAACACAAGGAAATCACGGTGAGTGTACTGTACAACCTCTGAATCTAAGGAGGGACTCAGGAGAGTGATCACTTAAACAGTAACCGTTAAAGGCCTCAGCTGGCCTCATATGGTTGCCGGAGTAAAGACAAGTTTTAGCTTTTGGGATTATCAGATCTTGATTCTTTCCCTTGTTTTGGGTGTTCTGATTTAGAGTTAAGACCTTTGCACACCAAGTCTTTTTATTTTCAAAGTATCCGGCGCTTTTCACACATCCCTCACAATTCTCACCAAATGTGTTCTCTGTATTTATTAATGACCTTTAGCTGTAGGAAATAAGGCTTTTTTCCCTCTTCATGACAAAGAGAATTAGTGCTGCTTCATTTTATTTTGAACTCATGTCATATCACTTTTGCAGTTGTAATACAAATAATGTTCTTCTTCTGCCTTTACTCCTACAGTCCCATTTGAAGGAGATTCAGGTGGCGTTTATCTCTGTTCTCTCAGACCCTGATGGTAAGAAGAGCGTTCTGTCTAACCCGACTGTTAGATTGAGCTGCTCATTACTTCAAATGTACCTGTGCAACATTACAAAAAAAGCAGCCACCACTCTTTGCTCTGTTTCCTTCCCAAGTCACCATTCATTGTGCTTTTTTCTTTTTTCATTCAGATTTGAGTCAGGATGTGGCATCTAAAGGCCTGGGCCTTGTCTATGAGATGGGAGGAGAGGGTGACCAGCAGCAACTTGTGTCCACTCTGGTGGAAACACTCATGACTGGAAAAAGGTGAGCCGATGGTAGAGTAAAGGAGGCAGGAATTAAACGACAGAGAATCACAGGAGGTAGTAATGTATTGTAGTGTCCTTGCTGCAGGGAAGGAGAAATAACATTTTCAGTGTATGAAGATATTATTTTATGCCTTGTTGATTTAAATGTTCTGCTTTTAAATTTTTATCTTACTTGTGGCTATTTTATTTTCATTTTATTTTGTAGTGTTGCCGTTGCCTGAATTTATTTCGTTGCAGTCCTGAATTGTTTTTGCTTGTGGTTTTACCATGTAAAGCGCTTTATAACTTTGATAAAAGTGCTGTATAAATTAAGTTTATTATATTGTATCTTTGCAAACAGAGTGAAACATGCTGTTTCAGAAGATACCGAGGTGTTCCAAGGAGAAGGTTTGGGGAAAACACCTGATGGGTAAGTCACATGTCACAACTACTAGTCATTTGTTGTTCAAATGTAATGTAAATGCTAAAAATTTCTATTTGCGTGGGTTCTCTTTGTGCCAATTGACCACCTTCTTCTCCTCCCTCATGCATTGATGGCTCCTGACAGTCACGGCCTGACCACATACAAGGAGCTCTGCTCATTGGCCAGCGACCTGAACCAACCAGATCTCGTCTACAAGTTCATGAACCTGGCCAATCATCATGCCATGTGGAACTCCCGCAAGGTATGCTGCTCGTGCACCCTCTATCCCATCCATTAAATCTGCCCCTTGTCCTACTATATGGTGCTGTCTCCTTCCACCTGACCTCTCCTCCTTTCAGGGAGCAGCTTTTGGTTTCCACATGATCGCAGCCAAAGCCGGGGAGCAGCTGGCTCCATTCCTGCCCCAGCTTGTGCCCCGTCTGTACCGCTACCAGTTCGACCCCAACCTGAGCATTCGCCAGGCTATGACCAGCATTTGGGATGCCTTGGTCACGGATAAGACCCTGGTAGGAACTGAGTCGTGTGTGTGTGTGTGTGTGTGTGTGTGTGCGCGGACAAAAAAAACATCCTCATGCATGTACCAAGTACTAAGGGGCGGTTGTGGCTCAGTAGGTAGAGTGGGTTGCCCGTTAATCGGCGGTTCAATCCCTGGCTCCTCCAGGCTGCATGTTGAAGTGTCCTTCGGCAAGATACTGAACCCCGAATTGCCTCTGGTGGCTGTTCCACCAGTGTATGAATGTGTGTGAATGTTAGTTTCTGTCAGAGCACTTAGGCTCAGTGAATGAATGTATGAATGTGAATGCAGATGTAGTGTAAAAGCGCTTTGAGTGGTCGAAGACTAAAATACAAATATTGTAGCGATGGATGTCATCAGGAGTAATGTGAGCATGGTTGTGTGTTTCAGGTGGATAAGTATCTTAACGAGATCCTGCAGGATGTAATTTCCAACTTGACCAGTAACACCTGGAGAGTGCGCGAGTCCAGGTACAGTAGCAAGACTGTATATGTCTTTATAATCTACAAAAAAGTTAGATTATAAAGACTAATATTGTTTTCTTGTTTCCTTTGATCTATTTATTTAGCCTTATAAGTGATTGGGTACAAAATGTATATAGTCTGTTCTTAGTGTTTTTTGTTTTCTTTTGCAAACTTGAGTGAAATGGCAATACATATTTGTACATGGCCTAATATGCAAAGAGTTAAATTTTAAAGGCACATATACAGTATATAGCCATTTTTGCAGTATTTTACATATTGATATTATAGTGTTAAAGTAAAGATCAGTTGCTTCATGCTGTTTATTTAACTGACAGTTGCAGACCAGTTGTACGTGGTTGGAGGCGATGGCAGCCAAAAGTATTTTAAAGAGATGCTCATATTTTGCCGTAGGTTTGTCTGGGATTTTTTCCCCTCAGGTATAATGTCACAAAACCACTTTTGACTTTTTATCTTAATATCGCTTAAGGGTTTTTTCTTATACCTTTCTCATCTGGCCTCAGGAACATTGTAATGAACCTGATTGTTGGAATTATAGTAAACGCATTGTAATTATGGTAGTCTAGTAATTTAGTTCATTCTTCTGTTACACTCCTTGCAACTTGTTCTGAAGATGAATGTGAGCTAGAAGCCTATGCTGTAATGTAACAATCTGTTTTTGATGAATTGACTTTCCCTCCAGCTGCCTGGCTCTAAGTGACCTGATTCGCGGCCGCCAAGCTGATGACCTCATTGATCACCTGGCAGAAATTTGGGAGACACTGTTCAGAGTCCTTGATGACATCAAGGTGAGCAGAAAACTTTCATTTTATTTATCATTTTATTTTATTCCCAAGAGCAACAGATGGTATTTTTTTAATAGTTGTTGTTGTTTGTAACTGACTAGATGACACATTACAAGTAGAGATTCAGTTTAGATTTCTTTCATTATTTAGTCACGTGATTCTGATATTCTGTGTCATTTTACATTTCAGGAATCTGTGAGGAAAGCTGCTGACCTAACACTGAAGACACTGAGTAAGGTAAAGTTGTTTGTCACAGTATTGGCCCACGTGTGTGTCTTTGTTTGTGTGTACACATGCACGTCCAAGCATCTGTGTGTGTGTGTCTCTCTCTTTCTCTGTCCAGGTGTGTACTCGTATGTGTGAGTCTACAGGCTCTGCAGCCCAGAGAACTGTGGCGGTCCTGTTACCTACCCTGCTGGAAAAAGGCATCGTTAGCAATGTCTCAGAGGTCCGCTCACTAAGGTAGCATCTCCCTCCATCAGTGTGGTCTGTGTGACCTTGCTCTGAAGATATTGTATGTCTGTCAGTCAAATACAAAACTAAGTAATGTCTTTTGGAGCATAACACTCTTGAGTCTCCAGTGTTTCCCCTAGGATGGAGTTGTAGCAGCGGAGGTGAAGTAAAATTTTTGTCTGAATATAAAACCCCAACACAACATGTCTCAGCAATATTGCTCTTGTGTCCATGAGCATGCGCTGCACATTAGAATATCTTAAAATGTCAGTGTTTTCCCATTTTAATGTGAGCTTTAGCTTAATGTTTTGGTGGTGGTCGTGATCGGGGGAGTGGGGCATGTGGGGGGTTTGGGGGCTCCTCCAGTCACCTCCATCCTTTTCCTTTCTCATATGAAAACTGAAAAATAATTGTATCAGTCTGTACAGGACAGAGCTGTAGGCTACACCAGTTTACTCTCAGATTGTAACTGATGTTCTCAACATTGGAGAAGTAGGAAGTAAAAAATACAGCTACCAGTTACTTTCTATTGAGCTAATGTTAAGTTACCTAGCAGCTAAAGACGCAGCCTACTGTAGAAGCTTTCCTGCTCAGCTCAGGAAAGCAGCCTGAAGGGGAGGGGAGATGTTAGCTAGCGTGAACAGGCTTCGCTTTTCCAGCAGTTGGGGAAACAACAGACAGACTTTTCTTGGTCTTGACACAGTACATTTACTGCCAGAATATTTTCCTCTGCTCGCATTCACCGTCACTTTCTGCCGCTCGGACAAAAACAATCGCTACGCACCTCCCAATTCCTCATCTGTCATGTAGATGTTTTGTATAGAACGATGAGAGGAGGCTAGCGAAGCATTGAGTGTTGCCGTGCTCGCACAGTGTGAAAATATTTGTAAGCGCATAGTTTAATGATGTTGGGAAATTTTAGCAGCTGCACACCTCCGCTCCTGAATGCATATAGGGGAAACACTGCTCTCAAAATGAAACCAGATGTTCAGCAATGTACAGTTTGCCTACCTATGATCCTGCACAGATAAAGTTGTAAACAGGCAATGTGTTTGTTGGTATTGGTGCTGACTTGACAATTTCTTTGTTTTATTGAGTCAAATTTAACCCTTGGTCATTAAACTTACCATGGAAATGAGAATTTACCATTTCAGTTTTCTAATATGTAACGATGTTGAACAGTATGGTTTTTTTGTTTACATTACCGGGTTGTAATTTTGTACCATAGCATTGTTTTCCTTGTTCTCTCTCTCAACCAATCAATTTTATTTCCAACCAGTATCCAGACCCTGGTGAAGATTAGCAAGACAGCCGGTGCCCGACTAAAGCCTCATGCTTCCAGGTTGATCCCGGCCCTGCTGGAGGCCCTCAGCACCCTGGAGCCACAGGTCCTCAACTACCTCAGTCTCAGAGCCACAGAGCAGGAAAAGGTAACCTCAGCCGTCTTCTCAATCCTCCGCAAGACTGGTAACCTAAATCTGTAGGTTTTATCACAGGTTGGAGTCCACATTGTCATGAATTGTGTTCTTTCTGGCTCTCTAGAGTGCCATGGATGCTGCCAGGCTGAGCGCTGCCAAGTCCTCTCCAATGATGGAGACCATTAACATGGTAAAAGAAAACATCATAATTACTGTTCATTCCCATTTTTGGGGTTTTAGACCCAGTTTCTAGGTGTCAGAGGAAAGAAAGTGTTGTTTCTGCTTGACAAAACATGACAAAAGCCAGTGAGATCGTTTTTTTAAGGGTCTGTCTTTGTTATCCCTGTGCTCAGTGTTTGCAGCACCTCGATGTTTCTGTGCTGGGAGAGCTGGTTCCCAGGCTCTGTGAGCTGCTCAAGAGTGGAGTAGGCTTGGGCACCAAGGTAGGCGCACACTTCTGTAGTCTCTAATTCTTAGATTTATTGTAAACGCATTGATTATCTTTTAAATCCACCTGTTACTTGTTTGTATCGAGTCAGCTTATTTATGTTTGTCTCTTTTCTCGACGTAGGGTGGCTGCGCTAGTGTAATTGTTTCACTCACAGTGCAGTGCCCCCAGGATCTCACCCCATACTCAGGTAAAGCACAAGTGTGCTCAGTCTGTTCCTGTAACATGTTCAATGTACCGTTTGTTGCAAGTGAACCAACAACAAAAATGTTTTGGTGTTTCCAGGTAAACTGATGAGTGCCCTGCTGAATGGCATCCATGATAGAAGCACTGTAGTACAGAAACAATTTGCCTTTGCTTTGGGACACCTAGTCAGGGTGAGCACCAGATCTGTCTCAGAAGCAGTCATATTACATTAATTACACCATAGTTTGTTCTAAGTGACTCAGTAAGCATGGGTTGTTGTTGTTTTTCCCCATCAGACAGCAAAAGACAGTAGTGTAGAGAAACTACTACTGAAGCTCAACAGCTGGTACTTGGAGAAAGAAGGTAAGACAAGTCTGCAGTTTTTCTTCAATATAATAATTGTGTATGTTCATTAGTGGTCGACCAATTTGGGTTTTTCAGTTGCAGATGCCCATATTTAGAGAGTAGTAGGGTGTCTGATGGCTGACATAAAAACAAGAAAAGTCATGTATAATTCTGTTATTCCATGCAGAGTATAATCTAATACACATTTTTTACGTAATAAAACAGAAAAAGACATTGGGCTATGTGTAGATTTCAGTGCGTTGCTGGTGTTTAAAGGGTAGTGGGGTACAGTTTGCCAGAAGTGATGTCATTCAACTGCATTATTCTGTACAGCAGGGGTTTTCAAAGTCGGAGACTGTGGGCCTTCGCTCAAACAAAGCTTAGACAAAGGCACCTCTTCACACCCTGTTAGTTAATTTGCTTAGTTTCACTCATTTCCTGGATACCTGGGTATCACGGGATCATGATGATGATATTTGATCACATAGACACTCAACAATTTAGCCAAGATAACCTAATATTAGTGTATGACATAATTTACAACTACTGCTTTAATGCTAGCTAGTAATGGCGTTCGGTTATATTTGCTGGTGGTCACAGAGAAAATTTTGGGTTAAAAACAAACTTTTTCACCACCTTACCAAATGTTACCGGGTGGAGCGCTAATGTCATTCCACAGCAGCCACACTGACAAAGCTGCCTGAAGATGTGCCCGCAGACATTTTTGTCCTAATCGGCCAACCGATTAATCAGTCTGTTACTAATGTGCATTAAACTAAATTCACGGTCTGTGTTCTCTTCTACTCTTTCCATTTCCTAATTTCTCTTCTACTCCCAGAGCCGGTGTACAAGTCATCATGTGCGTTGACTGTGCATGCCATCAGCCACTATAGTCCTGATGTGCTCAAGGCCCATGCAGGAGTGGCTCTGCCACTGGCTTTCCTAGGTATGCATCAGGCGCCAGGTCCTGATGAGGAGAAAGGAGAGAGCCATGACGCCACGCTGTGGGCGGAGGTGTGGCAGGACAATGTCCCAGGTGAGAAATACTCTTACAGTATACAGTAATAAAAAGGGATTTACTCATAAAGAGCTGCACTTTATAGGAGCTCCTGAAGTAAACGTGTGGATTTGTGGTGAGATTTCTGCTTGATCAGAAGTCTCTCAGTTAGTTGCGGTTTCACATGCGACATGCAGTCCCAAACCGTGTCGATCAAATGGTCTGAAGGGATTATAACTAGTGGAGCAATAACGTAATGCACAGCACAGTATAGGGCATATTATGAATTCTCATTCATTTTCGTAATATTACAACTTTTTTCTGGACATGTCAGAGAACACAGATTTGGGAGAGATTCTGAATGTGCAGAAAGTTTTGAACATGAGCAGAAAACCTGCTGAAACACAGGAGCTATGAAAGTCCAGGAGTTTATAACTGAATCAAAATGAATTAATTTATCATTGAGGTGAACAGGTGTCGTGCACATTTAAAGAGGTTACTGCACCAAACAAAAGACACAGAAGAGGAGGGAAGACTAAATCACGACTGATAGTAAATGAGAAAGGTTGATCTACAGGAGAAACATATCTGAAAGCAACACAGAATGCCTGAGAGCTGCACTGCATTATATTCAGTTATATTTTTAGATTTTGACTTGTCACCTGCCACCTGAATTTTGTTTCCCTTTACATAAATAAAATCTTTCCACCATGTATCGGTGCATAAAAAGTCACCAGAATGCAGCAAATTAACTGTTTAATGCTCAAAATGTTCACATAATTTAGCACTGAAGATTTCTGTAGTCTTAAAGTATAGTGTTAAACTCTTGTCTTGTCTCGATCTCGTGAACCCAATCTCGTGTTTTCGTCTTGTCTCTCGTCACACACTAGTATTTTAACCTTTTTTCTTTGAACAATTACTTCCATTCTAGGAAGCTTTGGAGGCATCCGACTCTACATGACAGAGCTGATCGCTATCACCCAGAAGGCACTGCAGTCCCAGTCCTGGAAGATGAAAGCTCAGGGTGCAGCTGCCATGGCGACTGTTGCCAAGGAACAGACAGGCTCATTGGTTGCGCCACACCTTGGCATGGTGCTAACGGCTTTAATGCAGGGACTGTCTGGACGAACATGGGCTGGCAAGGTAGCGACTGATTATACAAAAGAGTGGCAAAAACACAACAAAGAAATTGTTTTGGCTTTATATTTATTTATTTTTGTTTCAGGAGGAGCTATTGAAAGCTATTGGATCAGTAGTGTCCAAGTGCAGGTGAGACTCTTTGAAGAACTTTTTTGCTCCATCAACGTTAATTTACAGGGGTTTTTTTTATACTTTGTGGCTTCCATTATTCCTCTGGCTTTTAGTGCGGAGCTGCAGAAGCCTTGCGCAGGCCAACCCACCATCTCTGAGGTGCTGGAGGTTGTGTTGAAGGAATGTCGTAAGGAAAGTCTGGTGTACAAAATGGCTGCTCTGCGCTGCGCTGGAGACGTGCTTCACAGCAGCAACGAGGACCGCTTCAGCGACGTGGCTGAGATCCTTGTCCCTCTGATCAAGAAGGTTCAGTCACATCGACTTGTTTGATATCGCCTGTTTGTTATGATAGCACCATACTAGTGCATTTCAAGAAACTTTTTAACGGTGCTCAATCTGTCTTCCTGATTCCTACCAGAGCTGCCCAGAGAGTGGCGGTGCATCACCGAGGTCGCTGGATGATGATGATGATAGAGATGTGAAGGAGAAAGAGCTGCA